GCACCTGGGGCGTCCATCGCCAGAGACCATATTACCCCGCGAGCAGGGGCGGCGGGCAAGAGGCGGCGGGGTGAGGGAGGAGGCGACGGACAAGCACGGCCGCGAGGACGGGGCAGTCTCGTGCAAGCACCGCGAGAGCCGCGGAGCCGCAAGTCTGCGCTCGCGGGACTTGCAGTCCAACTCTCGCGAGGCCCTCGGGCGTGGAAACAAAGAAAGTAAGGGGCGGAGCTAGCTTGAACGCGACTCCCTGCGCTTGCGCAGGCACCTCTGTTCTTGCGAGACGGGGCCCGCTGGGACCTGCCGTGTAGGTTTCGCGGCGGCCTGGTGGCGTCCTGTTGCATGTCTGTGGCCCCAGGGCCCGGCGGCACGGGCCTCTGCGGGGTAGAGATGGGAGGGTGTGTTAGCATTGGAGTTCTCGGAAAGAACGCGAGCTGAACGCTGTCCCCGGAAGGTGAAGCCCGGTTACCGGCGGCGCGTGCGGCTCCAGGGGGACTGTGCAAGCGCCCATTAGGCGCGCTTCTGCCGAGTCAGTTATCCGCCCGGTCCGCAGTGCAGTCTCCCTTTCAGGGACCTGGTTCCTGGGGCAGCCACCGCCCCGCCGCTGTATCTCCCGGGGACAGCCGACCCCGCCCATCCTTATCCCTCCCTAACCCCAGGAGCGTCTCTGGTCGAGGACGGCGCGAGACTTGCTACTGTCTAGTCCCAACTCGGCTTGCTCTCTCCGCTTGCTGAGAAACACCCTTCGGCTTTTGCAACATCAGACTCGTTTTTTTCCTTCCTGTCCCTAGGGTGCGCCCTCTCAGTCTCCAAAGCCCCTCTTCTCTGCCCATCCTCAAAAATGCTGGTTTGGCTGGCTTGCACTACCTCCCACTCCCATTTTCCCAGTCCCGCCTCACCTTCTCCTTTGGCTTCAGTTGTTACTTAGGTGCTGATGTTCCCCAGTCCACCTGTAACCCAAACACATCTCCTAAACCCAGAGGTGTATATTCCAGAACCTGTTGGACGCCTCCACATACCACGGGCTCCAAGACCGAGCTAATGCCTCTTAAGACACACTATTCCTTTTGTACTTCCTGGATCAATGAATGACAACACCATCGGCCCAGGTACCCGTGCAAGAAATCCACACATGGTCCTTGACTCCTATACTATCTTCCTTTGATCATGAACCCAAGCCCTGTCAATGCAAACCCCAAATATTTGCTCTATTCGCCTTTCTAACCATTCTCTTGCGACCCACTCAGGTAGGGATTTCAAATTTTCTGTCTGATATGCCCTGTCTGGCTAACCCCTAACATTCTTCAGGCCCCAGTCCAGACATTATTTCCTACAGGAAATATTCACTGACCTCCCTGAAACCCCAGTTTGGGCTGGGAACCTGATGACATGCTTCCCTATCATCCTACTTACGTTAATGCACTTTATTACACTTGACTGGAATTGCCCATTTACTATATTCCCCCATTTCAGTTAGATGATTTTAGCTGCATGCAAGAGATTACCCAGCTAGCAGTGGCTTAAACAATAACCTATAATTATCTCATGTGACAAAGTCCACTTCAGGCAGTTCCAAGATTGGTGCAACAGATCAATCACACCTTGAAAGACTCAGGGCTCCTTCCCTATTTTGGCCCCATGATCCTCAGCATTTTGGTTTTTGTTCCTCAGACTTGTTGCCTCTTGGTTGTAAGATGAATGCATTGTACAGGAGCACCACGTCCTACAGCTTCCAAAAGCAGGAGGGAAAGTGGTGCGAAGCACATCTCTCTATCAGGGAGGAAAGTATTTTACTGAAGATCCTGTGCACACCTCTCCTCAACCAGAAATTAGACCAGTGGTTCTCTGCTCTGTCAAAAGGGGGTGCCCTTTTCAAAGCATACATTTTATAATGTCTCCTTTACTATGCTGGCATGAAATTTATTGATAATGTAACCTACACAAAACAAAAAAATATATAATGCCATAACTAATATAAAGGAGAAAGAAAATGAATTTATCAGAAAACAATATTATGAAATGTATGCACCTAAGCATGTCTACACTACATGACACGATGTAGTCAGATGCTTGTATCTACTTACTGTGGTTTTACAGAACATAAGACAATAGGGTATTATTATATCACAAATTTGTTCCTTTTTATTACTGAGGAGTATTCCATGGTACTTTTTAGTGCATCTCATCAGGAGGCACCTGAGTTCCTTTAGTTCCCTTTCTGGCAACTGAGTCATCTCTTAATCTAAAATCAGGTCAGGGTTTTAAGGCCAAATCTGCAGGACTCTAGAGCTCACGCTTTTATGTATCCACAGTTTTGTGGCTTGTCGTGGTTTCACTTATTGTGAGGGGTGGGGACAGAGGCTCCCACACCTTTCTAAGTCTCAGTCTGTCCTCTCACTAGCTAGGCCCCAAGAGCTGCCATATTCTTGCAATCTATTTTTTAATTCTACACAGGGAAAGCTATTTGGTTATATCAATAGTACCAAAATAAGTGCCATATCTAAAAATATAAAAACCATGATAAACAAGAACACCTGCCACTCAGTGGCTCACATTGGAGTCCACTGCTAAGCCTAGTTGGCAGGTAAGGTGAGAACAGTCGGCTGCCAGCTTTTGGCATATGAAATCAAAGGAAACAATTGTACACCCAAAACAAGTAGCCACATGTCCTGCCCATCTAGTCAAGTGGAATGCAATTAGGAGTTTTCCTTTTAGCTGATAAGAGCAGACCACATATTAAAACTCTTAAAACCCACTGAAATCCCTATCTGTCGGCCCCTGGTAGTTAAGAATATCCATGCAAGCTTGCAGAACTCTGTCCTTGAAACTGATAAAATGTAAAATAAGTCGAAGACCCCTATTCCTCAAATACCTATTATCATTTCTAAGGGAAGAGAAAGAACTATTACCAGCAAAATGGCGCAGAATCAAAATTTCAAAAGAACAGTTATGAGTTAAAACAACTTAGGGTGTCCCTCCAAAATTCATATGTTGAAGCCCTAACCCCCATACCTAAGAATGTGACCTTATTTAGAAACAGGGTCATTGCAGAATGTAATTAGTTAAGATTAGGTCATGCCAGAATAGCCTGGGTCCTAATTCAATGACTGGTGTCCTTGTAAGAGGAAACAGGAACGTGGGCCCACAAAGGAAAGGCAGCCATGTGAAGAGACAAGCACACGCACAGGGAAAATGCCAGGCAAAATGAAGGCAGAGGTCGGGGTGATGATCCAGGGAAGGAGAGGCCCAGAGGGGGTTCTTCCTCACAGACATCTTAAAAAACCAACTCTGTCAATACCAATGTCAGACTTCAGGCCTCCAGAATGGAGAGAAAATAAATTACTGTTGTTTAAGCCACCAGTTTGGTGTACAGTTGACCCTTGAACAATGCAGCTTTGAACTGTGTGGGTCCACTTATACACATATTTTTTCAATAAATATATTGGAAATTTTTTGGAGATTTGCAACCATTTGAAAAAAATTGTTTTTCTCTAGCTTACTTCATCATAAGAATATAGTATATAATACATATAACATACAAAATATGTACTCATCAACTGTTTTTGTTATCGGTTAGACTTCTGGTCAACAGTAGGCTGTTAGTAGTTAAGTTTTTTGTGAGTCAAAAGTTACGTGCAAACTTTTGACTGTGTGAGGGGTCAACACCACTAAGCTCCACATTGTTGAAAAGCTCACCTGTACTTTGTTATGGCAGCCCTAGGAAACTAATACAAATACCTTCTTGGGATATCAAAGGTGCAGTGAAGATAGTATAGAACAGTCAGGAGACCCAGCTTCCAATCCCAGCTTAGGCCCAAACTCACTGTATTGTCATACCCAAATGAACGAATCTATCAGGCCTCAGCTGTAAAATTAATTGGTTGAAGGAAATCCTCTCCTAGGTTCAAGAATTATTCTGTATAACCCATGACTGTGTATTTCCACTTTCAGGCATATGCCTTTTCCTTGGTCCCGCTCATCAAAGAAACCATGGTGTCCTGTCACACTGGGATTCCTAAATGTCTCTTGGCTTCACCTTCTCCACTCCTACCTTTGTTTGGGTTCTGATCAATGATGACAGATCATTGTATTAGGTTGAACCATATTAAATATATGACATTGGATCATTTTTGACCTAAAAAAAATAATTTAATACAGTTCTTCAACCTAGTAGTCATTTCCTAATTGGTGTCCCTGCTTTGGTCTTCCCTGCCCACCTTCTCACCACTACTCCAAACACCCTTCACAACACCATCAGGATATTCCACCGGAAAGGCAAATCTGACCATGTCTGCTTAAAATCTTTCAAAGTTCTCCCATCACCTTCAATGTAAAACCTGAACTCCCCTATGCAGCACTTGAAGCTGTTTGGGACCTGATCTTCCCCTACTCTCCAGTCTTACCTCTTTGACACAAGTCCCATTTTTACCTAATGCACCTCCATACAGAACTAATGTTGCTTGTGTTTCCCTGAAAATCAGCTCCATGTGACCTCAACCCTTTGCATGCTCACCAGGAACAGTAGAGGCTTCTCTTTATGAAGGCCTCACTGTCCTCACCTGTTCCCAGCACCCCAACAGTGGGCTCTCTCTCCATGGCTCCCTCTCAGAGCACTTAGCTCACTACACTGTTAATTCTTGTTCATTGTCTATTCATTCACTAGGCTGTGACCTCCCTGAATACAAGAGCCAGCTTTTCACTCTATCTCCCTATCTCCCAGTACAAGGCTTGGTATATGGCAGTTGCTCCAAAAAGTCTTGATGAATAGATGAATGGATGAGTGAATGAATGAATGCACTCTGATCACGCATATAAGAATCTCCAAACTTGTACAATAGGAAAATTTGATGTAAGTTATTTGAACTATGAAGTGATTCATCTTTCAAAACAAATTTTCTACAGAAATTCTGTCCTTAGCAAGCTATCCTAGTGAATTTGAAAATATGACTTGAATTTAAAATTAATTGATAGAAACTAGACTCAGAAAATGGTGCCTTGGACACTTTAATTTGGTTCAACGATCACTGAGGTATCATCTGTTACATTCCAGAATAGTGAAGGGGAAAGGGCTTGCCCTTGAGGAGCTCATAAATAAATGATGACATTTTAAGTGTTAATAAAATAATAATAGCTCACTCCTATTAAATCTTTTTAAGCACTTTACATGCATTCGCATTTAAACCCTCAAACACCCCATAAGACATGAGTATCAGTGTGTTTCTTGCTGCAAGAAACATCCAACTCAAACAGGCTCACATACAAGCCTCTTCTTGTATCAGCTGAAGAACTTCTATTTTCTCAGAAACATGGGGCAGCTCTCTCACAGAATCACAGAAAGGTGGTGGCGGGTGCGGGGGCCATTTCAGGAGCTTTCTGAATCTCACTTGCATGGGAAGAGCAGCCCCATTTAACAAAAGATTCTCTGATGGCTGATCTCAGCCAGGCCAGAGGCTAGATGCTGGGGACACAAAGATTAGGTTGGCTCCAGGTTTATGTCTTAGTCCCGATAGACCACTGAGAATAAAATAGACAGTGACAATGTATCCAGAGAGCCAGAAAACAATGTTCCTGGGAGGCAGTAGTATTTGAACGCAGCAACTTTGTCATCAGGACCTTTTCCAGCCAGCGTTGTGGACATTCGATGACCCTTTCTTGTGTCTCCTTCCCCAACTACTCTGATTTTCCTTTAGGCAGTTCGACCCTTCCTTACCCACCCTTCACAAGTCCACCATTGGACTCAGTACCTATTTGGCTCAGGAATTGGGGATTTACATAAGTAGAAGCAACGAATTACAAGACTTTTGCTAGGCTTTCTGACAAAGGAAACTTTCTTTCTTCTCTAAAAGTTGTGGGGAGAAAGGTTGTGACATCTGGAAAGGTTGGAGCTATTTTTACCACCACTGTGGTGAACCTGGAGCTGTGGGATCCACCTTGGGGAACCTGAGAATAAAGCCACAGCTGTTAGAAAACAGAGAGAATAAATAAATACTGCATTCTTGATGCCATCCATTTAGCTTGTGGATCAAGCCTTGCCTGTTCTCCATGACTTCTCTGTAATTTTTCTTCAGTTATGTGTGTCAACAAATCCCCTTCATAATTTAAGCCAATTTGTTATTGTTTTTTTTATAACTTGCATCAAAAGGTCTGATAGCTGCTGTACAATTTACTTAACTTCTCTAAGCTGCAGTTTCCTCAATTGTAAAGTAGGAATAGTGACAACTAAATGGATTATTGTGCAAATTGAATGTATCTGAGGGTTGTGTAAATTTCCAATAGTAGCTGTATCAAATTACCACAAAATTATTGGCTTATAGGAACACAATCTTATCATCTTACAGTTCCAGAGATCAGAAGTCTGAAATGGGTCCCACTGGGCTCAAATCAAGGCATCAGCAGGGCTGTAGGCCTTTCTAGAGGTTCTAGGGGAAGCCCGTTTTCTTGTCTTCTCCAGCTTCTAGACGCTGGTCTTATTTCTTGGCTCCTGGCTGCCTTCTCTCTTCCAAGCCAGCACTGGTATCACTCGGGCCTCTGCTTCCATCGTACATCTAACTCTGTGCCTCTCCTGCTTTCCTCCTCCTAAGGAGATTTGTGATTACGCTGGGCCATCCAGATAATCCAGGACAGTGTCCCCAAGGTAATAGCCAGGATATCCCTTGATAATCAAGGTGAGATGATCAACAACCTTAATTCTATCTGCAGCCTTAATTCCCTCTTGCCATGTAACGTCATGTACTCATGTGATACAGGGATTAGGACATGGGCATCTTTGTGGAGTGAAGGGATTATTCTGCCCACCACAGGGGTCTATTATTCCCATGGGCTTTGAAGCACAGATGAAGAACATTTAACACCCTTGGTGGGAACCAAAGGTTTTAAAGATAAAATGATGTCTAAGCTGAGTCCATTTAAAAATAATGTTTGCCGTTTATCAAATACCTCAGATAGTGCACCAGAAGGTTTGCATACACTTTTTGTAATCTGCATAATAACATTTAAGATAAATAAATATTATCTCTGTTGTAGAGATTTAAAAGTTGAGGTTCAGAGATGTGGAAGAAAATGACCCTTCATCAGCACTCATCAGTTGGTGGAACCAGAGAGGGAAGTTCTGATGAGAGCAAAAGAAGAGAAAAAGGTTCAGAATCCTGGGGCACTGGGAGGAAAGGCAGGGCCAGAGGGCATGGGGCAGTGCCTGGGTGCCAGGAGGAATGTTTGGGGAAAGCAGGAATCTGAAAGGGATTTGGGGTGATGTGGAAACGCCATTTCATGCAGAGATTTCACAAACTCTTTAAAACTTTCAAAACTTTTTCAAAAATCTTTAAAACTATTTCAAAAACTCTTTAAGCAAGAAGGGAACATGAGAAACCACCCAGTTTAAGGGTTTTTATACAGGCATGTGTCTTGCTCAAGTTCAATAGTGAGTTATCTAGTCAGACGACAGAGCCGGAATAGGAACCCAGATGGGGGGCCCCCGCACCACAACCCTTCAGTGAAGACAGGCCAGCTGCCAAGCATTCTTAGAACCAGCCCTTCACCCTCAGTTCTCTGGGGGCTCTTCCGGGCTGCTCAGCAGGTTCAGTCCTTGGTGTGTGCCCAGAAGATACAGTGAAGTCTGGGAGGTACGGTGTGGGCTGCAATTAGGAGAACAGCCTCTGGGTGGCAGGCATGAGTCACTGTTTCCCCGGGAGCCATGTAAACAGGCGTGGAGGATGCAGTGTCCGGCTCTGGCACCGGTGGCTGATGAAACCCTAAGAGAACAGTAAGACAGTGAAGTTCCCAATTGTACCCTCTGGCCTGGCAATAAAAACTGATTTTTTTATTAACACTTAAGACATCCACATGGCCCTTTCAAAGCAGTCATCCTACAAGGTCTGATATCTACTCCAACTGCAGCAGCAGCTCCTCTCCGAGCGGCCTCCAGAGCCCTGGGCTGGACTGGACGGGTCGGGCTGGAGGCTGAGCTCTTGCTCTGGGGGCTGTTCGTCTAAACCTCATAATATTAAGATCTGACTTTCCCTCCCCAAATCCCAGACGCCCTGGGCCTTCCTCCTACTAACTACTGGTCTTTTCCTGCTGCTAAGATATAAAACCCTGATCCAAACCACCACTGGATTATTGGTCTGGTCTCAAAACCACAAGCAGAGGGATTCTGTTAAAATGGAAGCCAGCATCTTACTACACTGATGGACAGTGAGTGCAATAGGGTATGGGGAGCGGGGAACTTGATAATATGGGTGAATGTAGCAACCACGTTGTTTTTCTTGGGAAACCTTCATAGGAGTGTAGTATCAATGATACCTTTAAAAAATAAATTTAAAAAAAAATGGGAGCCAGCTTAAGTTGTCCTTGCTCAGAACTCCACCCTGGCTCCCATCTCACTTGCAGTCAAAGTCAAAGTCCTTAACATGACCTCCAAGGCACTCCACAATCTACCTCTCCTCCCTGACCTCATCTCCTGCAATCCCCTGCTCACTCCGCATTAGCCTCACTGGCCTCTTTGCTTTGAGCACCAAGCACAGTTCATTCTCCAGACCTTGCACCTGCAGGTCTCTCTGCCTGGAATCTCCTCCCAGACATCCACATGGCTTGCTCCATTTTCTCCTGGCCTTTGCTCAGTGAGGTGGCTCCTGAGCATTCAATATATGTGGCAAACCTCAGCACTTCTTACATATATTTTTCTGCTTTATTGCTCTCCACATACTTACTGTGATATAAGATGCTATACTGGTGACTCACCACTTGTTGTCTGTCTTCTACTGGAATGTAGGCTCCATGAGGGCAGGGAGTTGATTGTTTTGTTCACTGCTACATCCCCAGTGCCCAGAATTGGCACATGACAGACATTCAATAAATATCTGTTGAAAGGATGTGTAAATAAAGTCACCTGGCAGGCAAGCCCAAAGAGAATACCTAACTTGTCTCTCTGAATCCAAAGGGGAGAACATTAGAGGCAGGGGCCTCTACTGATTTCTGGTTGAATCTGCCTCTGCAACTTTAGTTTACTGATGATTTAAAATTTCAAACTGGAGAGGTTTTTCCTGGTCAAGGTTATGCCTACTGTGTTGGAATAAATGATGGTGGAAAACTGTTTTAAAAGAAGTTCATCAGACACACTGAGGAGCCCCAAATCCATGCAACAGAAAGCCCCACAGCTCTAGGGAAGACATCCCATTCCTGGGCAAGATGTCACAAAAGCTCACAGTATCTCTTAGTTTTAGGACCTGGAATACCTTTGTGTGTTGTTAAGGCAAGAAGCGCTGTCTCTGAAAATGTGGGACTAGGTTCTGACGTTAAGAAAAAACTCTAGGGATCAACACTGTGCTGTACAGGAGTGGAAGTTTGGCCCCCAGGCCTTCAACTCAGAGTGGGCTGCCTCTGTCTCCTATGCTGCACACCACCCCCATCTGGTGAAGGATTGTCTCTAGCCTGGGTTCCTGCCTGACCTCCTCACTGGCACCTGCCTGAACCCAACTGCCCAGGATAGGCTTCCAGAGGCATCGACTTTGATTACAATAACTTTCCTGATCAAAACCCCCAATTCCCACACAAAGGCAACATCTAAAGTCTCTAGGCTGATATTGGCACCTCTTGTGTCTGTCTGGCTGTGGACACCTGGTTCCATCTTCGTCAGTGTCTCACCTCCCTGGCTCTTGTGCGTCATCCAGCAGGTGCTGAGCTTCCTACCTCAGCATTTTTGTTCCTGCTCTTCCACCTCCCATTTGACTCCCATGCCAGAACAGCACCCCCATCTTCCCTGGTATATGCAAACCCGCACGGTGTCCAGCACCCTTGTTTTCCCTGAGGCCTCCCAATCTCCCACACAGTGGTAGGACCACTTTGCTCTCCACGCATGTGGCGTCTTTGAGCTGCTCCTGACAGATCTCCCCTAGACCAAGTTTGGACTGGAAGGTTGAGCAGGGTTCCAGGGACCTCGCAGCATCACTGCTCCACCCCAGCCTGATCTCTGGAGCCCCTCCCTCAACCTGCTGGCCTTTGACGTTTAGCAACCCACCTGCATGTCCACCTGCACCAGGTGTCAAGGATCCTTGTTTCTCCTCTGGCCTTGGCTTTGCCTCCACCTCCCCACTCCATGGAGCTCAGCCTCTCATGATACGAGCATCTATCTCCCAGCACTGGGTGTGTCTAGAGCACTGAACATTTTCTATTTTCACACCACACAGCCCCAAACACCAGCCCATTACTACATCTGGTGTTCAGCTGTTCCAAACTGGAGGAAAAGCTGGCTATACTGATCTTACTGAAAGAAGATATTGACATGCAATGTATAGGCAGCCCTGGATATTTTCAAGGGTAATTGTGCCTGAACAGGAGTCTCTTTTTAAGTGCTGACTTCAGACCCTAGCTCCCGGTAAGCTATGGCTCTGCCAGGTACAGTTTGTGAGGTCATGAGGGATGAGGACTCCTTTTGGGTAGACACTCTGCAGACCATCTCCTGAGTTCCAGGACATCTTTCCTTATTGGGGGTGAGCCCGCCATTAAGCCTTTGAGCGACAGATCTGAACCCTAGGAGAGAGATGGCCTGCCTCCAGGATGTAACAGCCTTTTATCCCCCTTTGTTAGATGAAGCAGCTGAGGCCTGGAGATAGAGAAGGGGGCAGGTGAGATGCAGCTTCCTAGTGATTCCTCAGGCAGAACTCTGTCTTCTGAGCCCTTGGAAAGAATAAGAAAGAACGTGGAATTGGGAGAGCTCATGTTCCCTGTGGGAAGCATCAGATTACCCAAATTGAGGAGTTCCTTCAATTCAGCCTCAAAACATCTTAGGAAGAGTTTCCAGCCAGCGTGTGCTCTTGAAACAGGTCCTAATGGGGCTCCCATCTGCTTCTTAATGAATAGCACCAAGTTTATAGAATGGATTAAACTTTCCTGATAACTTTCACCTTAGATATGGCTTATACTGGGGTATCTGCCTAAAAGATTGCCAATCTAAGAATGGGCCCAAAGTTGTGAGGCAACTCAAGGGTTAAATTTCCATTACAAATTCTGAAAATCCTTACATTCTCTTGCTCTTTTAGGAAATATTACCTTTATGTGGTACAAAAATATAACTACTTGTCAACTGAATATCAAAGAGTTGAGATAAGAGGAGTCACATTTACTGAGCACTTACTGTGCTGGTCCTTCTGACATTTCGTTCTTCACAAAAATCCATTAGGCAGGCATTACGATTACCCAGTTTGTCCAAGAGAAAACTGAAGCTCAAAAAAAGTAACTTGCCCAAGGCCACAGATAATATGCTTCAGAGCCAGGATTTGACCTAACTCAGAGGAAAGACACAAATGCCATAGTGTCTTTCTTTTGAAGAATTATCATGGATTCTAGCACTGGGTATATGTGGTCTAGACTCCCCAACAGATACAGGAATTCCTTACCTAGAACGTCAGATATTAGGAAAAAGAAGGTGGGGCAGACAGGGTAGATAGAAACTGAGCCAGATGATTGTACACATGCATTTTGCCTCTAAGCAGCTGTGATTTTGGCCCTAACTTGGACAATCTAAGTCCATCTGTCTTTGAAGGCTGAACTAGTCTACTTTTAAGATCTCTTCCAGCCTAAAAGTTGGTTTCTGTAGTAAATACTGTGGACTGGCTTACATGCTGCATTTCAGAGCTGCAGGGTGCAGGCCACTGACATTACATCCCCAAGACTCCCTTGCAGGTTGGGCTCTATTTGTGACTGAGATTCTGCTGGTCAAGTGCACTCATGTGAGATTCTCATCAGAACTGAATTATGTGGAGAAAGAGTGGAACATGGGCATCTGTTTTGCTGGCACAGAATGGAGTAGAGGTGGTACAATTCTGAAGACAGCCCACGAAGACAGCCTGATTGTCATGTAGTAACTGGCAGAGTTCTGTGGACCATTCTACTAAGCTCAGTCCAGACAGTCCCAGGGATTCTTCAGGTTCCCACTACCTCTCTGTATCAGCCAGAAATCTAGTGCAGAGGATATAACCTACGTTTCAAGCAGAAGATGATTTCCAACCAGGGACGGAAGGGCCTGCAGAGTCGTGGGAGACCTGAAGACACTGCCTCTAGGTCAAGGCTGCATCAGTGACTCCCAGAGGGCCCCAGGGAGCTGCCACCTCATCTATGACCAGGTTGCCACTGGCTCCAGCACACTGATGCTACAATTCAGAAGTCTCTAGGATTATCAGACTGTCACAGCCAGGCAACTGCCACGGCAGCAGTGCAGGAGTCAAGCTGTGCTGGCCGTGGCCCACCAGTAAGTGCAACCTTAACTGCTTCTGGTGACTGGACACTGCGACATCTTCAAGGGCCACTGAGAAACCAGCAGACCCAGTGCAACTGTGGCTTCTCTCACCTCCACCTTCTGCAGGCCTACCTGGACTCTGAGGTCTGGGAACCACAGGCTTTAGCTTCCAGCCCCATCAGCAGAGGAAGGACACAGGAAGGAGGGTGGAATTGATGCTGAGCACCAGTCCAGCGTTAGAAACTCTTCTGCTAAAACTGGAATGGATTTGATGTTGTCAGACTGAGACCATGACCAGCACAGACTGTCTCTGGTGACAGGGTGCTAACTACTTCTGGAAGATACCATTCAGTGTGTGGCCGTCTAGGAAAAGGTTTCTTTTACACTGAGCTGAAGCCTGTACTCCTCTGCTGCTCACTGGTCCCAGCTTTGCTTTCTGGGACCTGACAGAACGAGTTGACTCCTGTTGGTGAGCTGTCCTCCAGAAACCTACGGATGGTGACAGTGATGTTCCCAAAACTGCTCAGCAGCATTGGAGACACGGCTTTTGGATGAAAAACTTGAAGAGAGCCAAGCACCGAAGTGAAGGCCGAGAAGGGATTAAAGAGAGGGTGAGGCAACCACCAGTCGTCTCCTGCTGGGTAAAGAATATATTCGTGGCATCTTAGCAAAGGCAAAAGCCACAAGCATTTTGCAACTCCCAGGTTTCTGAGAGGCGGTAGAAACCAATTAATTAAAAATGCATTTTATACAGTGAGCTAAATTGGTCACCAGAGGGAGTCTAGACATAGGCGGATCTGTGGCTAGAGCCATCATTACAACAGTCTGTATCTGGAGAGCTGTCTCCGCCTTCTTTCATCCAAAGTGCTCCCAGCATCTTGCCACCACTGGCCTCATTAATGAACTAGTGCCTCGGTGAGCTAGGCAGGTGGCCAGTCTCATTATCCCACTTTTTAAGGAAGGCCACCAAGAGGTTAAGTGACTTTTTTTCACAGCATGCTAATTAAAACCTTCTATAGCTGTTATTTTCAAGTTCATGGGCTCCTTAAAAGCTTTGTCAGTGATTTTAAAAGCCCAATGCACTCACTCACTGACCGCCTTGACACTCCCATTAAGAGGAGTCAAAATAGAAAAGAGGCAGCTTCCCCTCATTTGGTTATGTATAAACTGTCAAGTAATTTGGCAAAATAAATTAACTGCCTCTGGCGCCAGAATTCACTTATTCATAATACTTCTGGGTTTCCAATGTTGAGCAAACATTGTGGACATGCAGGGACTGAGAACTTGACCCCCAAGAAACAAATATTCCAGCTGGGAAGGACTGTATGTTTGGGCCAGAGATAGATAAAGCCATTCTGGCTAGGGAGAGAGGAAAAGCTCTGTAAAGGGATGGCAAAGGGCAGGAAAACAACACGAGTGAAAGTGATAGGCATCCGTCCCTTCTGTGGCAGAATCCCGAGGGGCCAAGAGCCCTGGGAGCCCTGCCGCGCCCTGGTTGTGGCTGTGCTTCCCAGCCTTCCCACAGACTCTAGGGCAACCCTGTATCTTTCCAATAAATTCCATTTGGTATAAACTGGGCTGAGTCTCTGGCTGATAAAGAGTACCTTCTGGGCAGAAGCAATGACT